TAACAAAAAAATTAAAATATTTAAAAATATTTTTATAAAATAAAATAAAAAATAAAAATATGTTTAAAGTAGATTTTCACAACATTTAGAAAACTCTGTGTGAGGCGCAATTTTCAAATTCTTTTTTTTGAAATTTGACCTAACCGATCGTCCCACCGGTCGTCCGGCCGGTTGACCGAAACAGTGCAATTTTTTTGTTTTACAATTGCAATCTATTATTTTTTAAAAAATATATTTGTTTTTGATATTTTTTTAATATAAAAATTATTTTTTTTAGATTTGTTATAAAAATAATTTAACAATCTCATCACTAACCACCTTCAATACTATGTCATTAAAAGATGGGTAAATTATACATATAGTCTATGTAGTTTACACGATGTGTCAATTTAGTCCCTGTTGTTTTAATTTATTCGATTTTGCTCCTTAATTTAACAGACTGTGTCATTTTAGTCCAATAAAAAACGATTGTTAAGTTTGGTAGACGAAAAGTCAAACTATGTGTCAATTTAGTCCCTATAGTTTACATAATGTGTCAATTTGGTCCTTGTCAAAATCGAGCAAATTAAAATAATAGGAACCAAATTGACACATTGTGCAGACTTTTCATCCACCAAACTTAACAACCGTTATTTTATTGGACTAAAATGAAATAATTTGTTAAATTAAGAGGCAAAATCAAGCAAATTGAAGCAAAGACCAAATTGACACATCATCTAAACTACAGGGACCATTTGCATAATTTACCCTTAAAACAAACACACTTTCACCTAATCTCCTTACTAACAATCCACACATTAACAATCCCCTCACTAACAATATCATCTAACCTAATCCGCCAAACAAACGTAGTCAAAACTCTGTTCAAAGCTCATAACCAAACAAATTTTATCTTTTCAAAACTCATAACTGAAAACACGACTCCATACTCAAATCATGATCATAAAAATAAATTTTTTTTTAAATTAAAAAAAAAATTAAAATAGAATTTTGAAAAGAGTTTGGTTTTGAGTTTTGAAAAGAATTTTGAATTGTGTGTTTAGTTATGAGTTTTGAAGATAATTTTTTAATTTAGTTTTGAGTAATTTTGAATTTTGTGTTTGATTACAAATTTTGAAAATTTTATATTGGAATCATGATTTCAAAAGTTAGTCAAATGCAACCTTCAATTTTTTTGTGTGTGTATATATAACTTATATATCTTACGGTATATGTACATGTGTGTTTGTATATATGATGAAATTTTTTTATTCAAATTTTGACTGATACTCCCTTCGTCCCATTTTATTGGTCCATTATTATATTTTTTGTTGTCCCAAAATGTATGTCCATTTTGAAAAGTCAAAAATTTAAATTAAAAAAAATTCAAAATTATCCCTTGTAATTATAAATATATTTAAAAATGAAAATAGAAAGGTACTTTTGAAATTAATTATTTAAAATTTGAATTCAAAGTGTAATGAATTTTCAAAAAGGGACTATCAATATTGGACGAATGCAGTAAAATTTTGATTTCGTCTATAATTTTAATGACTAAAAATAACATTAATCTATTAAAGTCTCTTACATTTTAGGTAACCTTAATCCATTAAAACACTGATAAGTGTCTCTTACATTTCAGGTAGCTTTTCTTACATAGTCATCAAAATTATGAAGAAAATCAAAATTTTATCATTAGAAGAGTCAAAATTTAAATAAAAAAATTGCACCATATATACAAGCACATATGTACATATATAATAAGATATGTAAGTTATATATATACACAAAAATAATAATAAATATTAGGGTTAATTACAACAAAAAATAAAAATAAAAAACTAAAATTTCCCGCGTTTTTCTTTAAATCCCAAAATTATTCTCCGTTACTTTATACAAACGGAGATGGATGGAGGAGGGGGCACATTGAAATACGAATGAAACTCCAAGATTTAATTTATCGAAATTAAAACACTGGGATTTAAAGTAAAAAACGCATGAAACTTTGAAATTTTTTTTAATTAACCAAAAAATAATAATAATACAAAAAAAGAGAGAAAGAAAAGGACAAAAATAGAGAAGAAGAAAGTTGAGTGTGAACATAATAATGGTGGTAGAAAGTGGTCACAAAAGCATTTACTAAAAAATAAAAAAGTACGGAAAAAATACGCAAGTCTTTCTTTGAAATCATAACAATAATAAAGTTTAATTTATCGAAATTGAAACACTGTAGTTTAACGAGAAAAACGCGTGAAACCGTTAATTTTTTTTTATAGTAATTAACCAAAAAAAAAAAGAAACATATACAAATATTTTTGTCAAAAAAATTCAAAGATATACATATATATATATATATATAACCAGTACTCTTATATGAAATCACTTCTTTCAAATAAATCTTATTTTTAAGAGGATTAAATAAATAAATCTCAAAAACTCAATTTTAAAAATTATGAGAAAGATCAAAGCGAATAGAGGGATTCTATTTATACCCAAAAAACTATTAAATACGCCCAATTAAAATTTTAAAATTTTAATTCCTATTATATCCTAATAAGGACAATATATATTAAACCCGAAAATTAAATATTATTTTTTACACTCTAATTACATATACATATTCTTCGTCTTCTTCCCTAAGTTTCAATTATTTCTTCTTCTCCTTCTTCTTCTTCTTCCTGACTTCAAAACTCCAAATCACCCCACTAAAACTCACCATTATCATTATCATTGTTTCTTATTCTTGCGAATAAAAAAAAAAAAAAATTTTGAACAAAATCAAACAATGGATGAGAATAATAATAAAAATCATTTTTGAAACAACTCATCAAAGAAGAAGTAAATATTTACATAAATATAAAGATACAATTCTTGATTTATATATACATTTTACGTAACAAAGTCATCAAAACCAAGCTCCATCAATCTTGTGCCCTTATCCAAAAAAATAACGCTATTAAATTCATCTAAATACTCTATTATATCTTCAGTCCACCCAGTGAAAGAATCACTGCTTTTATTCCGAGAATAGTAACTTCTGACAAAATTAGAGCTCTTTATTATAGAAGATTGCCTAACTATATGGAAAGCTAATATGAAATTGTTGGACATATCTGCAAATGAATCAAAACTGGGGCTTTTTGTAATGAGATGGGCAGAGTTGAAAAGATATTTCGAGGGCACAGAAGACCCGAAAGACGAATCATAGTGTGATCTTGTCTCGATTAATTCTATCGAACAAAGTTAACATGTTTTGATTTGAAAGTCCGAATCAAATAATATTGTTAGGCATTGTAAATCCGAATATAGTTACTTTGTTTTTATTTGGATGTACCTTGAAAGGTAATTGAAGAAAAATTATAAGGTGTATTGAGACTAACATAAAACCCTAAATAATTGAACATGTGCTGAGAAATTGAAAGTACTTAATATTTTGTTTTTTTTTTTTGGATATAAATAGAAACCCCTAACAGAATGATATATACTTTTTTGTCCTTGAAACCCAGTCCGGCTCAAACTTGTTAGGCTTTTATCCAAACAAGGCCCAAATCCCAAATGGGCTGGATCAAGTGAGATCGGGCCTGAGATTGGGCCTTGAATTTGAAACTCAATCAGGCCCAAGCTCGTTGGCCTTTTACCTAAAACCAAGCCCAAATCTTGGACATGTTGGTTGAAGTGAGACTGGGCCTAGAATTAGGCCTTGAAATTGAAACTCAATCTAGTCCAAGCTCATTGGGCTTTTACCTAAACAAAACCCAAAACTTGGACTAGCAGCCCAAATGAGATTGGGCCTTGAATTTGAAACCCAACCTGGCCCAAGCTCATTAGAATTTTACTCAAACAAAGGCCAAATATTGGGCAGGCCAGCCCAGGTTAGATAAGGCCTAAAATTGGGCCTTGAACTTGAAACCCAACTTGGCCCAAGCTCATTGGGCTTTTCCGAAAACAAAGCCCAAATCCTAGACATGCTAGCACAAGTGAGATTGGGCCTTAAATTTGAAACCCAGCCCAGCCTAGCCCATGAAAAATTATAATTAAATAAAAAAAAGTGCAGAAAAATTATTTAAAAAGACTCAAATCTTGGGCTAAGCTTGGAGGCCAGGCCACGAGCCCATAGAGATGGCCTATTAGCCCACTCATCAGTCCACCATGCGAGCTCACTTAGGCTTAAGGTTTTGGCCCACAGCCCAATGAAAGAGGCTTCACAGATTTTCAACTTTCTACACCAAACAAGCCCATTATCATGCTGGGGAAGAATGGTCCATAAAATAATTGTGTTGATCTCTCATGAGCAAAAATGAACATCTTTCAGGTTTTAGGTTTGCCTCACTAACAACTTGAAACATGATAAGTTACTTGAAAGAAGAAAACAAATAAACCAATTTGATTTACTTCCAAATTTTAAATTTCTTGTCAAAATGTTAGAGCAAACGATATTTTATCTTTTACTTTCACTAACATCAATTCGTGCGACAAACTGGTCGATGCTGATCCTATTTTGTTGTTTTGTAGTCGTCCTAAAAATTGAGACCTACATAAAAACTTATGAATAAAACAAATAAGTTACGTATAAGTAAAAAATTAAACACAATTAGGTTTGATTTGCGGCATGCTTGCCTCGTTTTGCGTAATCAGCAAAAAAATCAATAAATGTAAACCAACATAGTGGGTGTTTGAAAAGTTGTTATTTTAATAAGCTATTTTAGTTTTTAACTATTTTACTAGGCTAAATTTTTTGTATTTGGAAAGATGATTGAATTTTTTTATAGTTTGATGTAATGTTTGTGAGAGAAAAAGTAAAATGATTATGGATTTGATGTGATATTTTGTCATATTAACTTTTTTAACATATTGTCTATTTATAAATTTTAGCCTAAACGAGGCTAAAAATTTTCTTGCCAAACACCATAATATAACATGATATGCACACGAAAAGGCAAAAAAAAGAAGAACCAAATAGGACAAACTACAAATTGTTACATGTCACCATTACAATTATGACTGATACGAAATGCACAGTTCAAATATGAAATGCAAATCTCTTCCAGTCAGTTTATGATATGCTCTTATATAAAATATTTGTTCAATTATAAAACAAGAAATCATTATATATAGTAAATGTTAACGAACACTTCACACCTAATTAATACACAACATATTGGTTTACTCTCAATGAGATGATTCTCCATTAAATGTCATCTGCAGGGATTGACTGAACTCACTGTGATCTTAAAATCTGATCTAAATGTATCAATTAAAGAAGAAAATTCATATGCAACAATAAAGGCTTTGAAATATTACTCGAAATAGAGTATACTACCTTGGCCCACTCCATAGAGCTTCCAAAATAACATATTCCAAAAGACAAGGAAGTGTAGGCTGCTGCAATCTATATAGCTTTCAATTTAGGTGAAGTCCTGAGAAGCTAAATAGGAAACAAACAAATATTAAGTCATTTTTTTTCTTAAAACAACCATTAAGATTGAGGTTTGGGAGTGGGAGCTCTCACTGTTATAGGAGCCTTAGTTTGAACAACTAGAGTTCCGACACTTTTATCAGTACCGTGTTGGCTACTATCTTGCATAACATAGCGCAAAACTTTCATGCAAGCAGAGCCCAAACCTGCCCGCGACCTGTGCAACAAAAATAATAACCATGTTGGATTCACAAGCTGGGGGTATACATAAATGGAAACAAAGAATATGATTTTTATAGGTTTAACACAAAAATAAATAATGAAAACTAAATACATAGATGAAAGCACTAAACTAAACAACAATCAGAAAAACATGAATACCTTTACAAAAATATTCCACAATTAAACTAGCCACGTACCAAGAAAATATAATGTTCCTTGTAGTAAAAGATAAATTAAAATTGTACATTTCTAAATACAATTTTCTTTTTCTTTTTTTTTATTTTTATTTTTTATTCTGTTAGTTATACTTCCCAAAATAAAATAAAATAAAATAACATTTTTGAACAACGGGGATACATACAATGATGATGAGACACAGCTCTCCCGAGCAGCAAATCCTTTCATTAAATACTCTCCAGCACCACTAACGCAACAACCAACTATAAATGGAGCCCCAAATAGACCTTTTGAGGATGCCCAACAACCGGAGCCATACATTGCTGCTAATCTCACACATCCAGTTATCTGTTAAAAATATTTGAAGAATAAATTTCAAGTTTAACTGAATAATGATCCATTTTAGAAATGATGTCATGCAAATTTCAACTTTTACGTGCGAATTGTGATCAACAGAGGCATCGAATCTAAATAAAAGACAAGCCCGAAAAGCCATGAAAATGAAAATGAAAATGAAAATGAAAATGATGCCAAATAGGCCCTTAGCAACACCCAATAACCACTTCAAGGTTTCATTCACTACCAAGAAAAGCATTTCTTTTGCATGGTTGTTGGGAACTTGGGAGGACAAAATATCATAGAGGAACTAATTTTTTATTTTTATTTTTTAAATCAAAGCCTCTGAATCCCCCTTCTCTCTCTCTTTCACACAACTTCATACACCAAAGCCCCCACCAAACCGTCAATGGCCACCAGTCAACTCCTCCCACGGACACCAATTCGACCACCATTGCCATCTTGGGTTAATTAAATAAGAACACTAGAAAAATAATGATACAATTTAAGGAATTGAGACAAATAATATAGAAACTCTTTGCATATATAACAAGAAAATGCCACAAAAACAAAGCAGATAATCACCTTAAGTGCAATGCCACCACTCGAAGCTCCAGATGCTATATGTCCTTTAGTGTCAACACAAATAAACACAACAATGTCCATAATGCAGTCATCTCCTGGCACATTCAATTTATAATTGATCATGATCTCCATTTGTGTTCAAATGATCACATGGTAGAACTTCTGTTTGTGAAACACATGCAAAAACATTCATAAATTAAAAATAAACTTTAATAAAACAACCATAAAATAGAGAGAGAGAGAGAGAGAGAGAGAGAGAGAGAAGAAAGTAATTGACATACTTATCATTGTAACATATTTAGTTGTGAATACAAAAAAAATCAATTGGCATATTTAGCATGAACATCCTTTTCTCTCAAAACATATTTTCATGAAACAAGTAATTGACATATTAAGCAATGATAAAATTACACTCTAACCCCCTCAACTATTGTCGCGTATCACTTTACCCCCTGAACTAAATATTGTAACATTTAACCCCCCTCATTTACTAATTTTTTTTCAATCTAAACCTTTATGATGAAAATACCCTTTTATGTATGGGATAAATTACACTTCACCGTCTTGAACTAGTGTCACTTAATATCACTTTACTCTTTACCTAAAAAATGCTACATTTGCCACATTGATTTACAAATTGGTATCAATGTAAACAATTTGTTTCTTTTCTTTTTTTTTTTTTTTTTTTTTTTTTTTTTTTTTTTTATCAGAAGAGGAATTTCCATTAAAGTAGCCAAACGGTACATGCAAAGAGGAATCCATCCAAAATAAACTTACACTACCATAGGAAAGATGAAAACAAACAATACACAGGAGTAAATCTATGAAGAAAACCCAGCTGCACAACATGTGCTTGCGCTCGTACTACAAGCAGAGGCCAACAAACGGCTGTAGAGCATGCCGACCATATATCATTGGTTACAACCACAAAGAGGGTAAGCTACATCAAGCACTAATGGACTCTAGAGTCAAACCAAACCAAAATACAATCAAAAAACAAAAAAGAAGACCAGAAAACTCAACCTCGAATCAGATCTGTAGCATATCTGGAGCAGATCCACACCATCGGGTTGGAGGAGGAGAACCTAGCACACTTCAACCATGGGGGGGAAGAAAATCGCCTCAAGAAAGAGGGAGAGTTTGGGAAGAAAAGCTCCCAAACTTATTTGACAGAAACCTGAAAGAGAAAAGGCGGGGAGGGAGAGGAGAGAGGTGGCCGAAGGCCGAAATCCCCACCCCCTCCCCCTCCCCAAGCAGCGCGCTCTGAGGAACCCTAAGAGAAGGAATAGAGAGAGAAGCTCTCAGTTAGAGAGAGAGAGAGTTAAACAATTTGTTTCTTAGATAAATGAAAATTTGACATGTGATTTGCACGTGACATCTCAAATCAAACGCCTAAAATGACATCATTAATTTGTTTGGTTTAGTATTTAAAAATTATTTTTGAGCATTTATTTTTCATATTTTTTTTTGACTTCAGTGAAACTTCTCAAATTTTAGTCTCTTTTTTCTTGTTCTTTTTTACTTTTTAAATACATCTAATCTAGACGCATCTAAAAAAATTCATTAAATATGAAAATACATTTACATACCAGTTTTTGTTTTTCATTTTTTATTTTTCATCTTTAGTAAACTTCCTTTAGATTTCCTTACAAATATTTAACTTTTTAGGTGCATTTAATATATATTTTTTTTAATACTAAATATGAACAAAAAATAAAAAAACTCAAAAACTGTAATTGAGTTTAAAAACCAAACAAAGTATAAAAAATTTTAGTTGAGGGGGGTAAAGTGATATTGAGTGATAGTTGAAGGGGGTAAAGTGTAATTTACCCCTATAGTTGAAAGGGTATTTTCGTACTTGAGGTCCAAATTGAAAAGAAAAAGAAAAGAAAAAGAAAAAGATAAGTGGGGTTAAGTTAAGCATTACAATTTTAGTTTAAGGGGATAAAGTCGTGTGACAAGAGTTGTTTCTTTTTTTCTTTTTATTTTTTTTAAGTTGGAGGGGGGGGGGGGATACCAAAAAAAATGAAATTGACATATTTAGCATGAACATCCTTCTCTCTCAAATATATTTATCGTGAAACAAGTAATTGACATATTCAGTTATGGTACACCACTTAATTATTGCCAGCTTTGGGAGGAACAGGAATGTTCTGTTTAAAATCTAAATGGCATGGAGTACCTGATACAGCTGCATCCTCTTGAGTGCTAGAAGAAAGCTCTCCAATCATGGCTTTTGCATCATCAAGCATTTATTTGTATTTTTCCCACTGTGTTTTTGCCCTCTCTGTGACCAGCCATTGTTTCCAAAAGATGCACAACAAGTATGATAACTAATTCCAGAATAAAGAATAGATTACTACAGAAATTTAAAACCAACATATTCAAGAAAAAATATAGATATATAGGGAAATGGAAATTTGGACAGATACGACAGAAAACTATGAGAGTTTACTTCATCAGTCTCCGGTATACGGCAAAGGAATACGCTTGGATTTTGCCCACATACATGCACCTTTACCAACCAAGAAGCTAGGAAACACAAAAAAATGCCTCATAAGAAAACAAAAATCTGAGGGAGGACAACAAATGGCATGCCCTAGTGAGATACACTAACTCCTCACCAAGGATCACCAGTATAGCCAAGAAAAAGAGGAAATCCAATTTGGCATGATGTTGAAGTAAGAAACTAATTTATCAGAAACTTGGAATGGACTCCTCAATAAATCATTTCTTTCAATTTTTGACTCAAAGACCAAATCACTGTAACTAATTTCACCCATTACCCTTCATGGTTTCACTTGATTTGATTTTTACAAGCACTAAACATGTGTAGAAGGCAGATTCATATTCACTATTAACACATAGTATGCAGTACGTAACATCCCTAACAAAATAATGTTGCACGACTCATAATTCCCAATGAAAAATCCCCAAGAAATAAATAATAAGTACTGTGACAATGCTGCCATAAAGAGGTAATTTGTATATCAAAATTCAAAGATAAACACAGGTTTATTCATACATGGGAGCTATTCGACCCAGCAGTGCTGACCCCAACATTTGTTCCTTGGCCAACAAAGCAGCAACTTGGATACCATTTCAGACACCTACTAATTATTAACTACACAGAAATGAAGAGCATAAAATGAAAATGAAAGCTCCATAACATTATCAAAGCCAAAGAACATAAGAAATTGAAGCCCACAACATAAAAACTTATTTACTTGTTTAGAGTATGGTTTCCATTAATTATACTTCAGGAATACCTGGCACCGCTCAAACAGCCCCAAATGCCCCTAGAATCACCATCCATGATACTGGCATCACATTCCACATGACCATCTTCAGTCAAATTTGAGCCACGCCCAGCATTTGTGCTTGGATCACCTTTTAAAGAAACACACTTGATCAATAATGAAATTCACAATAGCTAGACAGAATTAAGAAGAGAGACACTACAGAAAATTTCCACTGCATGAAATGGCTCTTTCCACATCAAACAGATAGGAGGAATGATCTAGAGCCATATCTAACCCACCCAACAATTCCACATCAAACGGATAGAAGGAATGTTCTAGAGCCATATCTAACCCACCCAACAACCCTACAACATCAAAGCCCAACCATCCCCCTAGGGCATTGTATTGGTCCCCTTAAGTTTGAACCAATCCAACGAGGCCAGGCAGTTCATGGACCACTAGCTTGTGTTCATCCAAACAAATTATTGCACAGCTAAAATGTCCTTGAACTATCCTGTAGTTTCAAATGTGTAATTCCATCTACCATATACAAGACCAAAATTTTCACAAATTACTAAAGAAAAGAACAATCCATGAGTTTCAGTTAACTTTTGACATGACTTTAGAGTCCACATTGTAAAATTTCTTACTCTTTTTTTCCACGTAATCCAAGTTGCATGTAAGCATATTATACAAAAGAAACTAAAGAATTCTTTGTACCACCCACTACTATTACTTTGCAGCTTTGTAGCTTGAAAATAGATTAGTTTTCCAATCAAGTGACATGCAAAAGATTGGATTGGTTGCATTGTTGCACAAGTAGAGCATTTAAAACTCCCATCCACAAACCGAACCCACTCTCCCCACCAAAAATGTATCAAGTATTTTGGGCTCTGTGCATCTCATCAAATAAGAAGTGTCTCATTATAGGCTGCTTCCAAAATCAAATCTTATTTCTAGTATGTCATCTTGATCATGGTTGCTCAACTGTTATCTGCCAATCAAAGTGGCATTATGATGAGCCTTTATTATGCAATCTTCATGTAAGCTCTAGGGGCCATTCTATTTTAATATCAACTCCACAAAACTACTTGTTGACTGCATTAAGTCACCAATCTAGTAGCAATAAAAGATTCTAACAGGGACAGCAGCATTAATGAAGCAGCAATCTTGATTCATGCTAAGCTCAGGATGACTTGGGTAAACATTTTTGTCTAGCAGACAAGATAAAGCGACAATAAATAATCACTATAAGACAGCTTTGAAGTCTAAATACAATAGTTTGAAAAGGAAGAGGAAGAAAAGGACCTTAGAGGCATATAATTCCAACAGAAATTCAGAAACAAGCCCTACAGCAACATATCATCCTCTATTGATTTGGACTTAGACAAAAGATTGTGGAAAACAAATAGCCAAGACAGGAAAATCAAGTTAATTTTTGTTCTAAGTTATGCTTTCCTTTTACTATTTTCTAAGGGTGGATTGTTCTTGAAGTGAAAAAAAATAAGGATCATTGATGCGTAGATGAACCATTGCCAAGCACAATGTAGTTACGAGGCATAGCCTGGGGTTGTTACTGATGAAGAGAAACTAATTTATTTTTTTCATATTAAAAGTTGCTTTGAAAATAAATATAGAGTAGCTTTTGTTTTTCAAAGTCTCTTAAGTTTAAAGGCTCATTAAAATCCATAATTTTTTCTAGCTTCAAAATATGAGTGAATTTAAATATTTTCTTTTAGTGAACCTGTGCCTGCATGGTAAAGCAATCTAGCAATATGGAAATTGCTGAGCAGCATCCAAGAAAATCCTCTTAACACTCATTCTAATCTATATTGTTATATTAAAGCAACATCCCATTCGGTTCTAATGAATGAAAGGAATGCGGTTAGTTTAAATGAAAATGCATGTCTTATCTGATGGGTTTAATGTTATTATTTTGAGGGCGTTACAAAAATATAAATCAATGAAGACAGTTACAATAATTCATTAAAAAATAAATTTCAAAAATCACACAATGAGATAAGTTCATGCCCATAGTGCATGGCATCATTCTAGTTCATTTAAAATGAAAAGTTCTATTTTCCACCACTAACGATAATTTGCATGCTCCAAATTTCTATAGATTCAACAATGTAACTTACTCAAGACAATCAATGTCCAACACAAAGTAAATCTTTAATGCCTTAATAAAGTGCAAAATTGATAAAATTCAAGATTAACAAAATTGATAGAAGTGAAGGCAGGCCGCATTACAAGTAAGAGAAATATCAGTGGGTTTCACCAGGTTACCAAGCAAATGGTTTTCTATGTTGTAATTCAAGATATACCCTAAATCATCATTTGGCCAGTTTGACCATGAATCTAGGCCTACAGCCAAACCATGTTGTTGAGCTATTGTTTCTCTTAGTCTTCTCCATTATCCTTGGATTCCAACAGCACATGATCTTTAATTTTCCACATTCAAGACTGTTAATGTTGAAAAGAATTTTCATGTCCAACAATGGTCACCACCATCCTCATCCAAGCCTGTATTGTCTCATGTTTTCCAAAGCATAGATCAAATTAAACCATCCCACCATATTATCCAAAACAAATTTTCAGTCATATTCAGTGTTCATGCTCCAGAATAACAAGGGCTCTACTTCTATGATACATCTAGGAAGTGCAGAAAATGGCATACAACTTGAAAGTAACAGAGAGAAAAAAAAAAAAGAAGAACAAAAGAAAGAATAATGGTAATCCCTACTAATAAACTTTAAAAGGGCCATCCAAACATGACGACTCTCTCTCTATATATATATGTATATATATATCATGCTGACACACTTCTGAGAGCAGGCCCTCCATCAATATGCAAATACCTAGCAGAATAAAATGGAATGATCAATCTATATAATCTGTATGAAATGACCATTCACACCTACAATGGTGAATGATGATTCTGTTTATAATGCATTTTTCCTCATTTTTTAGCAAACCAAATGTGAGAATGGACATTGTGATGAAATGATCATATTCTATTCCAGTGAACCAAAACCTTTTCAACTGAAAATAGTTAGAACATGTTTAGAATTCAAACAAAACGACATAATACATAGATTCAAGATATTCTAGTTTAAATTTCCTTTTCCTTTATTTTCCTCAAGATTCTCGGTAACCAAATGGAGGGGAAGAGAGGAGATCCGAAGGAAATACCTTGCGAAGAACAGAAGCAGCAGCGAGGCAGGCACGTTTCATGGCGGACCTGAGAGCTTTCTCGTTCGACGGCGCGTGAAAACCCTCGCCGACGTGAACCGCCACGAAGAACCAAAGGTTCCGATCAGGGACATCCTCCTCCTCCGCCATGGAATTTTGATGAGGAGCTTTTTTCGAGAGGCGTGGAGGGCTAACATGTTCAATATATAACACATTTGTCATAAAAAAATAATAGATGATTTATATTTAAAAATACAGCTGCCATTTATTTTTTTAATCATAAATGCAATAAATTATGATAGACTTCATACGTCAAACAACACTCTTTAATCCAAATCGTATACCAAATAAAACTCTAACAACTCGGAATAAGCATAAACAACCGCCCAAATCCACCTTAGTTGCACCCCTATAATTTTGTCCATGCCTAATGTGGTGCTTACTAATATTGTGAGATGAAGTGATTCATGCAATCAATATATTTTATTTTATTTATTTATTTTTTTATTTGTGTGTGTTTTTCAATTGAAAAAATCGATTACTTTTATTTTGTGTAAAATGCAATCAAGGCAGGTTTGGTGGCTTAATCCAGATGAGAAGGGTATTTGCCTTTGTGGATTTTTCAGCAAGCAAGATCTAAGAAACAAATGTCACTAATTGTCAATTTTCAGCAACAGTTATAAAATTTTGTCACAAAAAATGCCACTAATTATAAGTTTTAGCAACAGTTTAAAAAATCGTCACAAAAAAAAGGTCACTAATTTTTAACTTTTAGACACAGTTTGAAAAATTCATCAAAGAAAAATGTCACTAATTGTAAGTTTCAAGGACAATTTATAAAAAGCGTGACAAAAAAATCTCTCCACATTGCATTAAGGGGTTATCACAATAATCAATGCAGTACCTTTCAAAGTTCCTACATGAACTTCAGCGTATACAGAGTAACAACCTGAAATTGGAATAGCAAATGCAAATGTTAAATAAAACGGAATTTCACCAAAGCCACTAAAATCTCTGTATTGATCCAAGACAGCCTAAACAAATCAGATAAATATGGCAAGTTCCATATGATCATAACCACTTGCGTCTTGCTAAATTGGAAACTTAACCATTTTTAGAAGATACAAAAAGACAGGGATACGAGCATTTTATAATTTTTTGGCATAAAATTAGGTATCAAAACCATGAACTTATATCATCTTATGACGATTGACAAGCCTAATCACTATTAATAGGCGGTCAGCTACATGGATCTATGTTTCCAATAAATAAGCTTCCACATTGAAGCTAGTCAAAAAGAAACCAATAGGTACTTTCTTTTCTTTTCTTTTTTCATAAACAGGGAATAGGGGTAGGGGTAACTGCATCACACGGCAGTAACACTTGAATTCAGACATCGGATAAGGGAGCACCTCATTCACTAAGACAGCCCTTGATCTCCAAGAAACCAACAGGTAAAAAAGCCGCTTTTATGTATCTTTAGACTGTGTTCGGATCATAGATTTAGATAGAGATTTGGAAATAGAAAGGAACAAGCGAGAGAAATCAAAGGGAAAAAAAAAACTTATATTTCATTTACATTTCCCTCTCCTTTTCCTTTCCTACTTATATTTCACTCACATTTTCCTTTCTCTTTTCAAATCCACGATCCAAAGACAGCCTTACAGATTATAAGAAATATCACTGTATAACAAAAAAACCAAAATAAAAAATAATATAAAATTTCGAGTACAAAATTAATAATGTGCTAAAATGAAACAAGAAGAATAGGAGAAGGAAATTGGCACATTTGGGGGAGCGGTAAGAGTGCCATCAACATCAAACAAAGCAATTAATCCAGGATTCCTTGCTGCCATTTCAGTATACAAAATTTTCTGCCATCAAAACAACAAGCTCGAAAAGCGTTAATTCAAATATTTATAATTAAAAAAATAAAAAGAAAAATCAGGCAAATTATGCTTCTAAGAGAAATATAGTCAGTGAGAGAGTATGCATTACTCTCATCTCATGAATTCCACAAATTTTGTGAGTCAAATCAGTTAAAGTTGAAACACCCGTTTGTTTCTGAGGAAAATCATACAAACAAAAATCTTTCCTGAGAAAAAAATTACTCCTATAGATTTCAAGCTGAGAACTCACGGATTGAATTGCAATTCCAAATTGACATAAGGAAATAAAACTAGATAAAATACAAACAATGAAGAACCAATGAAAAAGTGCGATTTACCTGGGGAAAATTTGGTGAAAAGAAGGAAGAGAATAATTATAAAAAAAAAAATAATCATAATCCAAAAAAAAAAATTGACATAATTAAAATGACTTATGATGAAGGGTGCGGATTAGGGGTGAGCAGCGGATATACCGATCCGTCAAAACCGACCGAACCGAACCGATCCGCCGCATTTTGGACGAATGCGTGATGATGAGCGGACGGTTGCGGATTGATTTTCTCCAATCCGCCAATTTGGCGGACGGATGGCAGATTTGATATTTTTTTGCCGCAACCGAACCGGCAAACCGCCAAATCGCGAGCACCCGTAGTAATTTATAAGACTTTGTATTTTCAATTTGTTTAAATATTATGTTTGTGTTTTCAATTGAAAAAGAGTTTAAATATTCTGTTGAAAAAAAGTTTTCAACTTGAATATATTTTTTGAATTGAAAAAAATAAACGTTTTATTCATCTATATTTTTTAGTTTTTAAATCTAACTCTAAAAATAATAAATAGAAAATATGATATATGCTGGTTGGTTTTTGTTTTCAAAAACATATGTAGATGTAACAATACAGAGACATTCAATCTCTACTACTGCTCTGTTCATGGTTTTGGTGGTTTGAATTGTTATTATATTTTAAGAATCACAGATTGTAATACTTTATGGGGATGAATCATGATGTGATTGTAATATGTGGATGAGGCATGCAGTGATCATGATATTCTTAAGTTTCAAACTTTCTTTCTTTGGTTAAGGCATACAGTGATTGTAATACTTTTTTAAGTCATTGACTGTAATACTTTTTTTTTTCTTTTTTTTTTTGAGGAAGTGCACAAATTGAATTATGTTGAAAATTTATAAAATTTTAAACTGCCAAACCGATTCGCATCCATCCGCCAATCCGCTCAATCCACATCCGCCGGATTGGCGGACGGATGCGGATTGATTTTCTTCAATCCGCCAATCTGGCGGACGGATGGCGGATTGGAGGTTCCGTGGCCGCAGCCGACCCGCGCCCACCCCTAGTGCGGATTATAGACTTCTTTGGAGTGGGTTGGCTTTTTTTGATTTTTGATTTTTTTTTTTTTTGATTTTATTATTTTAGTTAGGGTTAAAAGTTCATTTCAACTTGGTTTTTTGACTTTTTTTTTTTAAATTTTATAAGAGAGAATGTGAAATAATTATGATTTGAATATGACAATTTATCTTATTAATTTTTTTAACTTATTTTATACTTTTTGTAATTAAATTAGTCCACTAATTTTATATTTTTGTAATTAAATTATCCCACCACCTTAAAAAAAAATTCTTATGCCAAAGGAGGGCTAGAATTCACCATGTAAGGTATATATGCTTATGTTGTTCCACTTGGGTGCAACCCTGTGGATCTGATGATCTAGGTCTAATACAAAATTAGTGATTTTTGTAACTATTTTTTAAAAAATAAATAAATTACACATCAATGTATGAATCAAGCAGAAGAAATTTGGGAAAATTGTAATTTTTTTATAAAAAAAATAAATTAGTGGTAAATTTTATTTATTTTAAATTATTAAAGCTATAATTCTTTTTTTATTTTTTCTTATGAATTTGTAAATATTTGTGAAGACAATACTAGTATCACATTTTTTTTTCCAAATTTTTTTTTTTTATCTTTAGTAATTTTTGTTTTTTTTTTTAAATTTGTGTCAAAATTTTTTACTTTTCCAATTGTCTAGTGTAGAATAATTTTAAAAAAATGAAAAAATCCAAAAAAATAAAATAAAAGAAGAAGTCAACTATTTTTTACTTTTTGCTTTTAGCTTTTTGTAATGCTCTATCCCTCAATTTTTCCCCCACCCTCCCCTAATGCCATGGCGAATAATACTATCTAATCAACTCTCTTCAAACTCTTATCTCTCCTTTCAAAATTGTTTGCCACATCTTTAGGAAGAGTTTGCAGGAGAAAAATTAGGGAGATGTAGCATGCTCATTTTTTGGAGGCTCCTCTAGTAAAAATTTAATTTTTTTTTGAAAAAAAAAATCACTAAATACAATAAAAAAAAGTTACTAAAAAATTTAATTATAAATAACAGAGGACGGAAGATGCAAAGAGCATCATAGCAAAATTAGACAATCCCAATTAGGTTGGCACTATCTAACTAGCACAATCATATGTTAGCACTAAACCAAGTTGATAAGACAATAACCAACCAAAACAAAAACATAGGATGTAACACCCCAAAATAATTTACATAAGAAGGGTTCATATTTATCTATCAACAAGATCTTAATCCAAAAATAGTAACTTCCATAACATATATATATATATATATATTGTAGCACTTGTACTCTTTTAAAACTTTTGGGAAGTGTATTTGAATCCTTTATTTTATTTTGGGGATCTTTGGTGTTGTTGTATCTTGGTTTTGGATGAGTGAAAATCGATTTAAACTTGTTGGGATTACTCGTTCACGCTTGTTTATGTTGAAAAGTTGTTTGGGAACTTAAAGATCTTGTTCTGGGGTCGACACCGGTCTTGGTGGTGTCGACACCTTCCTTTTGTTGTTGGCCATATGGGTTAGCACCAGTCTAGGAAGGGTCGACCCTTGTCCAGAAATTGCTTGCTGAAATTTGGTGTCGACACTAGATTTGGAAGGGTCGACACCTGTGTTGCAAGGGTCGACACCTGCGACTTTTTTTCTAGATTTCAATCCGATTTGGGCCCTACTTTTTGAGGATTTTGACTTGATCTTTTGGGTTGACTTTGGGACTTCATTTTACTTTGACCTAGCACTATAAATAGGTCCCTCACTTAACATTTTCTTTACTTTTTCTTCTCTTTTTCCCTCTCCAAGCCGTAAGTCACTCTCTCCCTCTCCAAGATCACTTTTTGCTCAAAAATCTTTAGATCTACTCACTTGGAAGCATCTCTTTGCCTTGCTCCTTTGAGAAAGGTTGTAGATCTTGTCAAGGGCTTTCTATTGATC